TGTGTTTTTTTTTTTTTTTTTTTTTTTTTTTTAAACTAGAATCATGCTTTTGGTACTGTCTTTGCTGAAGGAAGAATAGTTGACTTCTTGAATTTGTCCCATGCTACTTTAGGGAAGAGTTAAAGCCTGCATGTTGGTTTCAAGCAAATTCATATAGCAGTCATAAACAATTAGAAAAGGCAGTTTATAATATTGATCTCTAGAACATATTTCTAAGTTGTATGTTTCTTTTTAGTAACGGATAAAATGAGACTTAGCATGCCAGGCACTCAGCTCACAAAATAAATAAAAAATACTTCTCTTTGCAGGATAGTGTTCCATTTTTGTTGCAGTGACTACTTTTCATGAGTGCTTCTGAAAATAAATCCCGTTCACCACCCTTCAAAGGCATTTATTCTATCTGTATATGTTTACTACGTGCTGACTAGTGTTTGCTTGTTTTACATACTCTAAATATCAGCATATTCTAAACAAGAAAATAAGCTGTATTTGTTTAAATAATATTTTAAGAAAATAAACAAGGTCTTCACTTCTATGACTATTTCTCTCTGTTCCTGCATCTTAAAAAAATCTCCTAAGTGCATAGGATATCCTTTTTAACTGAATGTGTGCATAGGCATTGAGTTGTTTCAGGTAATAAAATAAAATATGTAAAGTGTTTGTGTACCTGATGCACTTTTCCGTTTTTACTTTTAGTGAGTGTTGAAAGAGTTGGTGAGGGTATAGGCATTTTTTGGGGACTGGTGTGATGAGTTTTGAGGAAGGGGCAAGAGCACCTGGGGAAGGGAGGACCACGCAGGATAGCGGTACTCTGGCAGTCCTGGTTTGCGTCTCCAGAACTGCTGTGAAGCCCCTCACTCTTGGAATAGAGCTGACAAAATTAACCTATGCATGGGTGTGTAGGAATTATCTTTTACTCTTTTTTACTCTTTTTTTTTTAGTAATAGTTTTGTCATTTATTTTGTTTGTCATTTATTGACATACATGTGAAAATTAAGAGCGCTCTGGATAAATTTTAGAAAAAGTACCAAGTGGGTTAGCTTGAGAAAAGAGCTTTTCTCTTCCATCCCTGCCCGTCTTTGGGCTCTCAGTTCAGACTTACGCCTCGCCACCACACACTGTAACACCACCATTCCCCGCACTTGTCTGTGGTCCCTTGAACCTACCTCCCACCATTGCTCTCAGGTATCTACCAGCTTTGGAGGGCAAGAAGCTATTTCTTTGCAGATCATTCTCGGTGCTGACAGCACTCTTCTAAAGGTGTGCTTAACCTATGCAGGTAACTGTTTCCATAAAACCACAAAAATATGTTTATTAAAACAATTGCAGCTTTGTATGTGCGCTAGTTGGATCAAGGTAATTGATGGGGGGCTTGAGACGGCAGGACACTATGAAAATAACTGTAGAAAATCGTGCTGCCTTTTCTGGGAGAGAAGCCAGTTCTGTTGCCAGTGATTTTGTTTTCCCAGATTGAAAAATTAACAGCATTGAATGTTCAGTCTTTTTTTAAGTTGACTAAAGAGATGTAGGCAGTTGAGAGGTGTCTGTCTGCTACAAGGGAAGAAGAAAAATCATATGAATTGAAACTTGCTAGCTGTTAGTGTAAACTACTGGAAATAGAAAACCAATAGAACAGTTGAGGAAATCAATACGTTGAAAGCTGAATGTTGTGACTGCTGTTTGATTGGGTCTTATGGTATTTCAGAAATTCTTCTGTTATTGTAATGCAAATTTTAAAGCAAAAAAAGAAGAGATCTTAGGTTATCACTTCCAATTTTTTGAAGTAACTTAAGATTTTGTATTTGAAAACCAATTGTTGTTATGATGAAAGGCTCTGTTACATGTTACTACTTTAAATTATTTTGTTATATTCAGCTTTCTAGGTTAAAACGAGAATTGGCACAGATGAAGCAGGAGCTGCAATATAAGGAAAAAGGAGTGGAAACTCTGCAAGAGTAAGTTAAGAGTTTGTGGGAGGATTTTTTTCTCTTTACTTTATTTGCCTTGGAATGAATTTCTTAGAAAACTGTTGCCAAAAAAAAATAAAATTGAAATCTCTTAGTTGCTTTGCTTCAGAGTTTCTACTATGATAGTGATGCAGGGTGAGAACAGCGTGAAATGATGGAAGCAGGGTTGGACAGAATTGGTTGGAAGGATGATTTCATAGATCCACACGCAACAACAGTTTTATAGGCCCTGTTCTTTAACTCTTCCTGGAAATGTTGTTGAGCTGCGATTAGGTTTTTAAAATATTTTCCAAACATTTTCTGGAGATGCCTACCACCTGGAGCACAGCCAGAAGCACTGTGCAGTGGAGTAGTTTTCCTGTGAGCAGTACCGAGGCTTTCTGGCTGTGCACTGTACTTCTCCTCGGGTGGAGGCTGTACACCACGACACTGCTGCCTCTTTCTGCCTGATAGTCAGGCCGTCCCGTTCTGCACAGTGTAGCTGCTTTCTGTGTGCGCACTGTAAATGTGATGGTCTGTGAGACCTTGGATTTAGTTCCATGTGTGCAGAAAGAGTTGCGTGTAAACGTGACTCCTTGTCTGCTCCCTGTGAGGAAAGGTAGCTTGGGGCAGTTTGCCGCTGCTCCCAGGGTTATTAGGCAGCCTGTGCTCCATTTGCTTTGTGCTCAGCGGTGGCAAAGGTTGTGAACTGTTGTGGTGACCCTCTCCCTGCTGCTCTTCCTGCAGGCCATCAGATGGGAACTGAGTGACTTCCATCTGTGTGCTGCTTAGTCACCTACGCACGTAGCAGATATGCAGGGTGCCCAGTGGGATAGGGAGAGAGGTTGCCAGGCCATGGAAAAGATGGCAGGTAAACACAGGTTGTTGCGACTTCCACATCTGTTCAACAAGGCCAGAGGCTGGACCATATGTTGAACAGCTCTTGGATTTGCCTTGGACGTGTGGCCATGCATTTAGAAATCTTGGCCTTTTTTCCAGCATGCATATGAACAAACTGCCTAATGCGGGCACTTCCCAAAAACATTGGAACTGTTGCACGTTTAGTGTGTTTCGCAGCGTAAGCGCAGTATCCGTGGAAATATTTTGAAGCTTTGGATTTATCGCGTTGGTGCTACAAGGCATGGGTGCACACTTTTGCTTCAGGAATCCTGGCAAAGTTCTAGAGATCCTGGAGCAGTTAGGTTACTTCTTTTCCAACTTTGATTTTGATTGGCATTATGTTATCGAGACAATATAAAGGGAGATACTCTGATTTTACTTTTAAAGGAAAGGGAGTAGCCCATGCACTTCATAATGGTGGTTGGTTTTTTTTTTTTAAGCTTACAAGGTTCTTTTTGTTTTATCATGCAGTTTAAAAGCTTCAGAGAAGAAAACTTGTTAAGCCAAAATCCTTCATGGGCAGATACAATGTAATAATTTTCAGGCCTAAGTATATTTTTATTGACTATGTGAAACATATGCAAGTAGTTACAACAGGGAATTGTTAATGCATGATATTAACTGAAAATTAGTAAAATAAAGCACTCAGTATATGGAACCAGCAAATATTCTCAGTAGTATTTTAAGCATAGTCAGCGTTTTAGAATGGTGGCCTAGATATGTAAACAGTGACAGAACAAAAGCAATTTTATCTTAAGATTCATAATCATATTTTCTTTAAGTGAAGAAGAACTGCCTTGTCTTTTCTACTGTCTTTATTCGTTTACCTTGTCTTGGTTAATGGGTTATTTTAAGGGTATAGGTTCCATTGTTTTATAAAAGGACTAACCACTTGACTAGGATGATGAAAGTATTTGAAGGCCGTTTGAAACTTAAGATTGTTTTAATTAATATAATTCATTTAAGATAATCTAGCAAATTAGTGCAACTTTTTGAAAAGTAAACTCTGTGCATGATAAAGAATGCAAATGTTAGTCCTGGACTTTAGCCCAAGTGAAGTTGCACATACTCCAGGATGGGGATATAGGAGAGAATTCAGGAGAGGAATGATTTTAAAGCAGATCTGAATAGTCAGTGGTCACTCTAATCACCTAGTTTAAAAGTTCAAGCATGACAGCTCAGTGCTTTGGTGCTGCTCATTGCTGCTGTTGCTACAGTCAGTCTCTCTCCCGTTGGTGCACTGGGTGGCATTTGTTGTTGCTTGCTGAAGCTGGGGAGAACATTTTGCCCGTGTGTTATCTGGGATTGCAGTGAATTTCTGTCAGTGTTTGTGCCTTGCTAAACTCTGCTCTCTGCAGTGACCTCTTTGCTTGTGAACCAGAGGCTTGTGGGTTTGGTTTTGTGTTGTGTTTTGAAGTGATTTTTTAATTGCCTTTCTGGTAAGAAGTGTGCTCTGTTTGAGTATTTTGCTTCTAGTATGAACTGAGCCAATCTGGAGAGTACCTGTACTGTCCAACCACTGAAGAGGGAAGTTTCTCTAGCCTCCTCATGTAGTCAGCAGGCAAATCGGGCTAAAAGCCTAACTGTGCTCTAGGTAGTAGTACCTGGGTGATCTCTCCCCTAACCCTTGTATTTGGGAGAAAAGGGTCACTCAACTCAAGTATCAAAGCTGAAGTATTTTGCTTTTTGCGTATTCAAAAAGTAAGTGTCCTGTCTGAAATGAAGCTCATTGCTCCTTCTTTAAAACAAAAATTCTGGGATTTGTGCTCCCCCCACCCCTTTTTTTTAAAAAAAAAAAAAGTTTGTTACATGTCAGACCTTCTCCCTTTTTGTTACCTTTTCCAAATTATTTGTCTGCTCCTTCTTGTGCTTGGTCAAATCTTCAAGTAAATGCCAAACTAGAATGGCATGCATCCTGTTCAGCTGTTTGAAAGCCATGTTCTTTGCTGTGTTTCAAGTACAAGCCAAGAACAATGTTAGGAGCTGTCATACTTTGGTCTTTACATCTGGCTGAATGTTTGCTTTGAAAGTCTGACCAGGACGGCATTGTGAGCAGGTATCGGAACCCACTGCCATGCAGCTCCCTGTTCAGCCTCTGCTGGATATAGCGCTCAAAATTTTATGGTGAGGGTGGTTAGGTTGCTCAGTATTTCCATCATTTTATGTTGCTGTCCGATTCAGATGCCTTTGTTAAATGCAAATCTCTTGCATTGACATTTTCCATGTACAGTGTCTACCTTGGACTGTGTTTTGTTTTCTGTTCTTTTTAATTTTAGTAAAATAGCTTAGCCATCTTTGAGGAGAATAAAAAAAAAACCACCACAAAACAACTGGAGAAAAGTGGGATTTTGTAGGGGGAGAGAGGATTGAGGATTTTTTTTAGTAGCTCTACAACTCTAATACGGTCAGAATTTCCAATTTCGTAGTGCCACAGCTTTTTGTTAGGGCTGTATTTTCTACAGTTTCATCCAAATTTGGCAATTTTGCGATAAGCCTTTGGGCACCACCACAGTCTGCCTTTGCCCACCAGAGACTTTGTGGAGCTCACTGCGTAAAGCCTGCAAAGATCCCACCCTGCGCAACAGCTTTCAGTGTTCCCTGGCCTCCCCAGGCACCTTGGCCCCGAGGTGCGGCTGGTCCTGCCGCGGTCCGAAGTTACAGGGTTAAAGATGAGCCTTTCCTTGAAGGGATCCCTTCCTCTGAGCTGGCAGGCAGCAGGGAATGACAACGAGGAGCAGTTCCTCCTCCTCTGTGTTTTCAGTGGCCCTTCTGCTTGCCGGCAGGAATTTTGGAGGAAGAAGGCATTTAGCAACAAAGGAAATGAAAACTTGGCCAGTTGGCCGCGAGAGCGGAGGGAACACTGAGAGAAGTTGGGAGAGACGGGGAATTAGGACTGACTAAAAAATTTGTAGTTACAGACTTGCTTAGAGGATATGAGACCCGACAAAAGCTATAAAATTTGATTTTAACTCAATTACAGACCTGTGCTTTGGTGAGGGTGGGGGAGTCTTGCGTGTTTGGAAGCACATGTAAGAAAACAGAGGAGCACGGAAACTGCCCTATAGGGCTGAAGCTGTTGCAAGTGTATTAATATTCTGTGTGTCCTGGAAACATCTTCCTCAGAAAATGTATACTTTATTCATAGTTTTCTATTCATACAAAGGTCTAACCTGTATTTGTATCATGGTGTTTTCCATTAATAAAATGGAAGATTCCCGTTAACTTTGTGGCTTACAAATCTAGAGCTTTGTGAGAGGAGGAGGAAAAAAATGAACAGACAATAAATAACTGGTAGTTTCGTAAGATGCTTAAGTCAGTTTGGGTTGACAGCAATACTGATTTAAGCTCAGATATTTCTGGCAGTAGAAACTTTTCTGATTCTTTCCTTAAATAAATACCAATTCATAAATTGGCCTCCAAACTGACGTCCAGGAACACGAATATGTGGGTAACTGGGCAAAAATCTGGTTGAAATTAAATAATTTCCTGAAATGCCACCTTGAACCTGGCAAACAGTATAATGAGCAGTTATGTAGGAGGCATTTTCTGGCCTAATATTGGGGTGGAATCTGTGTGCTTAACATTAATGTAAGATTCAGATATAGAGTCAGTGTTCTTAACATTAGTGTAAACTTCAGATAAACCCATGTTATCTTTTTCATGAAACACTTAGTGAATTGGATCAGTTTTTCTACCATGGTTTTATGTGATCTTTTCAGGAATTTAGGTAAAAATTAGTGAAGACCCAAATAAACATGTTAAAAGGCAAACACAGCCAAGTAAACAAAAAGCCCAACTTTAATCCACATGACATTTAAATCTTTTCTGGTTCTAGAACCAAAAATCATAAAGGCTTATATATTTTCTTAAGCAACATGGGCAAAATTGTGTTTAGGTAGAAAGCTGAAGTTCAGACTTATTTTGTATTGTCTCCAAAAGCAGGAACTGTCAGAAAAAAACAAACCAAGAATGTAGAAACCCAACCTGTGTTTTTTCCTAAACATTGTGAACTGCACAGTAAAACCATGGGATTTTCATTGAAGCCATTTTATGTTTTCATTTTAATATTTTAATTTTAAAGCAGGTAATCTGCTGCAAGTGGAACTTCACTTATTTTGTTTAACTGGCAGAACATGCTGAGTGGGTGTTGTTGACACTCTTAGCTTAGTATAATACTTATCTTGAAACTTGTATGTATTACCAATATTTTAAATAGAGTTTGAGTATTCTTGTCATGTATGTATAGCATACCCTCTCCTTACTGCCGAGTTTCAGCATCCGTACTAGGATAGGAACGACTCTCATACACATTGATGCAGTGCACAGTCGGGTCCCTTTATTATTCTGCTTGTGCGGTTATATACGTTTTCCATATCTGTACACGCGATTACGCTTATTTGGATAGGCTACAGACATAAATCACGCGCTGTTCACACGCCCCACATTCCCTTATGATTGGTAACTATGCACTAACGCCAGTAGCAACAGACTGCCTCCACGTCCTTGAACACATCTTGTTTTTGCTAACCCACACCATGTGCCCTATCAGAACTTTCTCAATTGCTATTCTTAGCTGTCTTTTCCAGCGGCCTGTTCAGTTATGCTGTTTTGCTTAAGCGGCCTAGTCATGCTAATTCTCAAGCTACATTGACCCCAACACCTTACTACATCTTTTTATAAACTAATGTCCTGTATGATGACCAATGTATGTTTTATCTTTAATTCTGTTGACCAGAGACACCTTCTCCTGGAGATGTTCTTTCTTAGTGTTGGTGTAGGGACCATTACGCAGACCACCTTTTTTCTATATGCATTCTTTCTATGCTAGATTAACAGGAAAATTGAGGTTTTCATATTTAATATGAATTTAACACAATTTTCACTAATTGCTGTGGGTAGCTTGTTAAAATCCCATAGCTGTTTGTTACAAATCCAAGACCAAATGGTTCTTCTGATGAGTTCTGCAGAGTCTCTGGTCTTGTTCTTTCTCTATAGATGAAAGCAAATTATCGTGGTGATACACTGGACTAGGCTTCTGTGTCTTGATCTGTTGTATATTACTGTTGCGAACTGTTGTAAAAAAAGTTGAAAACTCAGACTGTGAATATCCCACTTAAGAGAAAATGAGAGATTTGTATGTCAAGATGGAAGCGTTGGTAGTACTTCAACCTGATGTAGTGGGTTGCACTCTTGGTCCTTGCTGAGTTTGCATTTGAAATCTTCTGGGATCCCATGCAACGTTCCTTAGTGCGGGATGATGATATCTTCTAGAAAAGAAATATGCCCATAATGGCAGGAAGGCATTTGCAATAAAATTTCAGGAATTAGAAATTTCTTCCCAAGAGAATGAAAAGCCTTTGTTAGAAACTTCGAAAACAAAATCAGAAGTCCTGGAAGCGATGTTGCAAACGTGTAGTGCTGCATGGAAAAATGTGACAGCTAGACTGAGAATATCTTTATCTTTTGAGTTATTACCATGTAGGTTAGTTTTAGATAGATTTTACTTTAGTTGCGTGACGTAGCCCACAGACATTGCCTGTAAGTAAGCTCCATATTGGGACACTAAAACCAGGAAATTTGTTGGTTCTGCAGAACCTGGGTAGGTAATTGCATTGCTTGTCTGTAGAGTGTGCTTGGCACTGAGTGCTGTGTTAGTTCCAAGTAGAGTATCATTTTTTTCCTGGAAATAAAGTGGTACATGAATCAACAGGAGGCCTTAAAACGTCAATGCACTTTGTAATTATATGAAAGTTTCTTAATTTGTCTTAATCTTTTCAACAGGATTGATCGTAAGATGTCAAGTGCTCATACAAATTATAGACTGGATGAAGCACAGGCTATAATGAGTGAGCTTCGAACCATAAAGAAAGCTATATGCACAGGTGAAAAAGAAAGGCAGGACCTTATGCAGGTAAATAATATGCTACTGAGCAAATAGCTGCTAAAAGGTAATAACCTACCTCTATTTTCTTTTTTTGTGCTTGCACTGGGTTTACCAAGTTTAATTGAGGAAGTGGGGTAGCCTAATCTGATTTTTCTGTTTGATAACTGCCAATAGCAGGCAGCTTGAAACAGGTAAGTAGTCATTGTATATACTGTGAACGTAAGACTTGATGTGCATTTCGTATTTTTGTCTTAAATAATGTATCATCCTTACATTTAGATCAATGTCTTTATTGAATATAGCTTTCCATTGCTGTTGACTGTATCAAAGACTGCTATGGAGTACTTGTACAGCATTAAAAAAAAGATCTTGAGGTTTTACTGTATTTGTTTTTCATCTTTGTTTAATGCCTGTTTGTATTACCTATGGAGAAGTAGGACTGAGAATATATGTGCTAAAACGTTTACCAGTTTGTCTACCATGTTTTTCCTCTTATAAGCCTTTCACAAAACTGGCTCACTGTGTCACAGTTTGACTGTTCTTTTTTTGCCTCAAACTCTCCTCTTAAGTACCCATACCAAGACATGCCTTAATTGCAAATGTTCTCGCAAAACCCTCAAAGAGTGTGATTAAACACAATGTATACAGAAACCATGCAAGCTTGGGATTGCCTTATGAATTGTTGCATGAGAATTGAGGGGAGATACATGCCTGAGTAGTAATCTAACTCTTGAATGGATTCTGCATCCTGCTGCGAACTCTTACTTGGTGCGTCTGCATTATAAACGTGATGGGAGCTTGATCAAATACTGCAAGGGCTTCAGTGCAGACTTCCCCAAATATGCTGCAGATACAGAGGGGTGACAAGGACAATTCACCCAGTCTTCAAACTGCTATATGGAAAAAGACACCTTTTTTTTACCTAAAGTTTTGGAACCATACTAAATGAATATTGCCATTCAAACATTTTCTTTCAGTTTTCTCTGCAGTAGTGTTTCACTGATATTTTTTTTATGGTTAAATGATATGGGTAGCTTGTAATTACATATAATGAATTTCCATAGTTGTACAATTATTCAGTCTCCAAAGCATTACCCAAAGGTCAGCTGATGGACCACAAATCTTGGTTCAAGTAGACAGAACACTTAAGTCACTGTGAAAAGTTTCTGCCTTGGCAACTTTTAACATATTTGATATTTTCTGTTGGCCAGTTTTTAAAGTGATTCTCAGTCTTCCATGTGCCTGGCTAGCAAGAAATATTAGAAAGGCACTTCTTCATGGACACAGTGACGCAAATTTTAGGAAACTAACTGGTAATTTAAAGACTTGCGTGTGAGATCTTGGAGCAGCTTAGCTACTGGCCTTGTTTTGACTCCCCCACTTCTTTTTTTCCACCCCTTTTTCCCATTTTCAGTCCTCAGTAGCACTAAATCCAGCCATAAACATTGAGGTGCCTTCAAAATAATAACTTTTAAGCCAACTTTAAGTGCACTTGTAGTTAAATACAGTGTTGAGAGAGTTAGAAGTCTAGGATCATGCTTAGCATCAAGGATTGGGCAATGCTGGCAGCACCAGAATGTTGAGGTTCCACAAGACAGAAGTGAAAATTAAAAGCGTTACCATCCTTCTTCATGGGTCTATGTGACATACCGGAAACATCAGTCTAGGAGGTATCACTTTGGTAATTAATGGCAATCTGTTGTGATAGCATCCGATAATAGGCATGTAGTCCAGGAGAATCTAGAAAATAGTTGTTCTACACAGGCCTACAATGCAAAGCGGTTCTGCATGTTTTGTCGCAATTGTAAGAAGGTATTAAATACCATAGTTTACAAGTTCTACAGTTGTAAAAATTGTATTTCTGCCAGCTTATTGTGCTCTGCAAAAACATCCAGCTTTCTGCCTGATATTTTTTTAAATTTTGACCAAAAAAAATTTAAAATTATTTTTGTTGTCACTGAATTTTTCTGTGTTATGCCTTTTTATAAATAGCTGAAGATTATTGTTATGGATTTATTTACCTTTGTTGAACAGGTGCAAGTGTATTTTAAGTATCTTCCTAATGAGTTCAGATTTGATTTTTAATTTCCTATGAATTTTGAAATTGATTTGTCCTCAAAAATGCTGCATTTTAAAGTTATTGTTGGTAAGACAAGCTTTCTTATGAAAATTTTTTCGTTTTGAAAGCTCTTCATAGAAGAGTTCAAAATATCGTGTAAACAACTGGGGATTTATTTCAGAGAAAGGAAATAGACAATTTCTTACTATTTCTTAATTTATGTCTGGACAGCATAAGTAACAGAACTAAACATAGCAGAAGTGACTCAGTCTTGTGTAGGTGCTTGGAAAATTGTAGCTGTCATAGAAATATGATAATTGCATTGAGTTGTGTGGGAGAGAAGGTCTGAGGAGGGAAGGAGAGGCTGGTCAGATTTAAACTGGGTGCTGTGGTTACAAATAAAGCCAAATATGCAGTGTCACTGCTCCAAAAAAGTAAGCAAACTTTATATATAAGGTTGAGTAATCAAGGTGCATCGTTAGATTCCTGAAAGCAGCATGGGTCTCCCCCTCTGCTTTTATACTTTTGTTTCTATTCCAGTAAGTACATATGCTTTTAAAATGTTGTTCTTTATACTTAGGAAGCATTGAAGTTTGGTTTTTTGTGGTTTTTTTATTTTGTTATTTCTTTTCCTTGCTTTGCTTTCCCAGTTAAGTAGGCTAAATAGGTTAGATAGAAACTGCACTGAAATTGTACGTGGCAAAGAGCTCCCAAATCAGATAGCAACAGATCAATGATGAAATAAAAGTGCTCATTTCTCTCTTTGGTGAGTTGTTCTGGGCTGGTGTGCCTAGAACTTCACGTCCATACAATAGGCTGGTCTGGCAGTTTCTGTGGGATTGCCATAAACAACCCATAAACTCCAGATGAAAGATGGATTCTTCCATATAGCTGGGGAGGGTATTACTCCTAGCATTTTATGTAAATAGTTTCTATCTAAAAGTATGCTAACTCAGGTTGTAGTTTTCCACGTTAGGGTTGCTGGAGGCTGTGCTTTCACTCATCCAAGTAGAAGGACTGAAGCTTACCGTAGAGCGTAGTCACCTATGCAAGTAGATGTAGGTTAAGGTGATGGCACTAGGTTATTGCCACCTGCCAAATGCAATGTAATTAGTAAGTATTATCCAGTAGTAACTGTGCCCAAATAGGAAGCCTGGCCAGCAGCCAGGCAGCCCTTAATGACCTGCCAGGGAGATGCTGGGGGGTGTCAGGAGTGCACCAGGAGTGCATAAAGTGGCTGAAATACAGGGAAGAGTTTAGATTTAAGTTCTGGCATCAGGATCTTTGGTATTACAAATGCCTGTAACATAATACGTGTCAGCCAAAGGTGCCTGATGGGACATAGCTTATTTGGGAGAATCACAGAACAGTAGGGGTTGGAAGGGACCTCTGGGGATCATTCAGTCCAAGCCCCTGGCGAAAGCAGGGTCACCTAGAGCAGGCTGCACAGGACCTTGTCCAGG